CAGGCACCCACCTGGAGAACAAGGAGAAGCAGTTCAAGTATCAAGGAAAAACAGTTCAAGTTCAGCAATCAGGCACCCACCTGGAGAGCAAGGGAATACAATTCAAGTTTTGGCAATCAGGCGCCCACCTGGAGAGCAAGGGAATACAATTCAAGTTTTGGCATTCAGGCGCCCACCTGGAGAGCAAGGAAATACAGTTCAAGTTTTGGTAATCACGCGCCCACCCGGAGAGCAAGGGAATGCAATTGAAGTTTTGACAATCAGGCGCCCACCTAGAGAGCAAGCAAATACAGTTCAAGTTTTGGCAATCAGGCGCCCACCTGGAGAGCAAGGGAATGCAGTTGAAGTTTTGGCAATCAGGCGCCCACCTGGAGAGCAAGGGAATGCAGTTGAAGTTTTGGCAATCAGGCACCCACCTGGAGAGCAAGGGAATGCAATTAAAGTTTTGGCAATCAAGGGCCCACCTGGAGAGCAAAGGAATACAGTTCAAGTTTTGGCAATCAGGCGCCCACCCGGAGAGCAAGGGAATACAGTTAAAGTTTTGGCAATCAGGCGCCCACCTAGAGAGCAAGGGAATACATCTTAAAATTTTGACAATCAGGCGCCCACCTGGAAAGCAAGGGAATACAGTTCAAATATTGGCAATCAGGCACCACCTGGAGAATAAGGGAATTCACTTCAGAATGCAATTCAAGTTAGCAACAAAAGAAGCTCACGGCAAGAATGTGAGTCAACAGTCCGAGATGATCAACGGAAATTAGTCACAATCTAGAATAAAAAAAAGGCAAAAAGTGAATCCAAATGCAAAAGTTGATGAAAGATATGAGCTGCTCAAGACATGACTGAAGTCACAAGCATGATATATCTGGTTTATGGTGTACACAAACATAAACCCAAGCCTATAATTCCTAGGCCCATATCCCTTAACATAAAAAACTCTACAAATACCTAGACCCCTAATATATTAATCATGTGTTTTTGACCTAAGCTATCATATACAAGACCTATACACTAAAAACAAGGCAGCGCCATTTTCATAAAAGAATTGGACCCACCCCTCCATCCGATCGACTGGTCTTCTTTATAGAAGAAGCAACCTTTGGCCATGGCTTCCTAATAAAAAATGACCAGCAACCTTAGAAGCTGCAGCAACAGCCATAAACGCAAACAGAGCAACTAGACATCTTCTTCACAAAGCAAAACAACCAGAGCCAAAACCTAAGAAACCTACCAAAAAGCATCCACAACTCCACCTTCGTCGGAAACTAGACACACGACGCCACCAGCGACCCCTCGCCGGAAAACGCCCAGCAACCCTTCGCCAACACCAACAGCTGCAACACACGACACTCCACCAAAAAAATTCCCAATCTGCCAAAGGACCTCCCGTTCTCTCTCACCCTTAACCTCTGAACAATCCCCTTCCTTGTCCGGCTCTTCAGGCAAATAGCAACAGAGTACGGAACAGAAACTAAGGTTCGAGGTTTAGGTCAGTCGTCGGTTCGAGTTCGGTTCTGACAAGAGCGTCAGTTCATTAGTTTCGCTCATGGTTTGAAGGTCTGTTTGCTGGTATTTGGTCATTTCCAGATGAGAATATTCATTGTTCTACTTTTTGGTAGTAATTTTTTAAGGCAACTATTTGTTCATTTGAGGTCCATTTCTTACCCTACTTTAATTTTTCTTATGTGAAGCCTATGAACAGTTTTGGTGGGAATGAATGCACTGTGATTATTTTTCTATGGGTAATTATTTGTCCATGATGTACTTAAATTCCTTCATTTGCAAAACTATCTTGATTTTTAATTAAGACCATCTTCTCAGTTAGATCATTGAATTAATGGCGCATTATGTGAATGAGGCTGAACAAATTGGTTGGTTTTTAAAGAAGACTAATCATTACATAGTCTGGTTATATTTGTTGGTTCGAAGTATTTCAATAATGGTAAATGGATTCATATCATGTTGTAGTTAAATTTCTTGACATATGTTAGTGACTTAGTCCATTTCCAATTTTCATTTGGACAATTTAATTACCTCTTATTGATTTGGTTTGTTGAATGACCATTTAACTAAAAAAGTGATGGATTAAGAGATTTTGTAAGTTAGGTTGTGTATTTGTTGGATTAAAACAAGATTTTTGGGGGTCGGTTAATAATGAGAAGGGATTTCGAGCCTAAGAAAGATTATGTTAATTTCGTGTTGTTTCTCTTTTAATTATTCGGGTCGTTAGGAGCATACTTAGGAAATAATCACTTATGAACATCGTAGCTTGCTTTAGGCGCGACTTAGCCTATTATCATGATTATGTATACGGTCGCGTAACATAATTATGATTTCATTTCTAAAAAAACAAATCGGAGTATGCGTTGGCGCAACTTCGGCCAAACTTTCTCAATAATAATAAAATTGTTATTAATGTAGTTCTTTAGGCCGAGGCATGCCATCCATAATTGAATTCCTATGGCCCTCGTGTTAATTTTATAACTTAGACATTAAAATGATATTCGGAGTTTTAGGCACGTTTAATCCACCATCGTAGTTGTGTACACGTTCGTGTGACATAAGTACGGTTCTAAAAAACAAACAAAACCGGAGTATGCGTTCGCGCAACTTTGGACAAACTTTCTTAATAATAATAAAGTGTTATTAATTGTGAACACGTTCGTCTGACATGATTTTTGATGTGCCAAACAAATGGGTACACGTGCACGTGACCTGTTTTAAGATAATTTCTTAATTAAGATAATTTCTTAATTAAAAGAGGCAAATGCACATAGGTTCTAAAATAAGTAATTAGACAATTTGATTAAGCCAAGTATGATCAAAGTGACCGTGCTAGAACCACGGAACCCGGGAATGCCTAACACCTTCTCCCGGGTTAACAAAATTCCTTACCCGGATTTATGTGTTCGCAGACCGTAAATAGAGCCAACTTCCTCAATTCGGGATTTTAACTGGTGACTTGGGACACCATAAATTATCCCAAGCAGCGCCTCTAATTTTAATATAAATAATCCTGTTTCGATTGTCACTTAAATTAGAAAAAACTCTCTTATACCCTTTCGAGGGTAGTAAAAAGAAGGTGTGACAGTCATGGGGGATAATACCATTCGCAAGGTAGTTTGTAATATCTGCATACCATAGCGCTACCTCAAGACTTTTGGCCAACAATTGTTCATCCGGGAAAGTTTCCACGATCTTTTCTACCTCAACCTTCTTCTCTGCTCCTTCCAACCAGACAAGTGATCCGCCACTTGGTTCTCCATTCCCTTTCGGTCACAGATTTCCAGGTCGAATTCTTGTAGTAGCAGTACCCATTGAATCAGGCACGACTTTGAATCCTTCTTCCCAATTAGGTATTTGAGGGCAGCATGGTCAGTATAAATAATTACTTTTGAGCCTATAAGATATGGCCTGAATTTGTCAAATGCGAACACCACTGCTAGCATCTCTTTCTCGGTCACTGTGTAGTTTAGTTGGGCACCACTCATAGTTCTACTTGCATAGTATATTGGGTGCATGACCTTCTCCTTTCGCTGCCTCGACACTGCTCCCACAACATAATCGCCTGTATCGCATATCGGCTCAAATGGTTGCTCCCAGTCTGGTGAAACTATGATAGGTGCAAACATCAGCCTCATTCTTCAATTCCTCAAAAGCTACTTTGCAATCATTAAAAAACACAAAGGGGTGATCTTTTTCAAGCAATTTACACAAAAGGGTTAGCAATCTTGGAAAAATCTTTTATAAACTGCATGTAGAAACCTGCGTGGCCAAGGAAACATCTTATTGCCTTGGCCGAAGTGGGTGGTGGCAACTCCTCTATTACATCAACCTTAACAAGGTCCACCTTAATCCCCTTATTTGACTAGGTGTCCCAAGACTACATTCTTGTACCATAAAATGACACTTTTCCAGTTTAGCACCATATTGGTCTCCATACATCTCTTCAGCACTCTTTTCAGACTCCTAAGACAGTTATCGAATGAGCTTCCCACCACTGAGAAATTTTTGATGAAGACTTCCATTATGTTCTCTACCATATCTGTGAAGATGTCCATCATGCACCTTTGGAATGTGGCGGGTGCATTGCATATGCCAAACGACATTCTCTGGAAAGCGTAGATGTCATATGGACAGGTGAATGATATTTTCCATCTATCCTCTAGGGTAATAGAGATCTGATTATACCCCGAATATCCATCTAAAAAGCAAAATTGGGAACTTCCTGCCAAACTATGTAGCATCTGATCAATAAACGGTAGGGGAAATGGTATTTTCGGGTGGCCTTGTTCAATCTTCTATAGTCCATACAAATTCACCATCTCGTGACTGTTCTTGTTGAGATCAACTCGTTGTTCTCATTTTGCACCACAGTCATTCCACCCTTCTTTGGCACACACTAAACCGGGCTAACCCAATTGTTGTCGGAGATGGGAAAATGATTCCCACATCTAACCATTTGATAACTTCCTTCTTCACGACTTCTTTCATGTTGGGTTTAACCTTCTCTGATGTTCTCTGGAAGGTTTGTGACCATCTTCCAGTAGAATCTTATGCATATAGAAGGCCGAAGTGATACCTTTAATATCTGTAATGGTCTAAGCAATTGCAGTTTTCCACACTATTAACACTTGTAAAAGTTGTTCTGTCTACATATCTAACAAATCGGATGAGAAAATAATAGGTAAAGTCAAATTAGGTCCTAAGAAAGCATACCTGAGGTGAGATGATAGTTGTTTCAGTTCCAACTGTGGTGGCTCTTTGATCGATGGCTTAACTGGAAGAGTTTTTCTTTCTTCTAAGTGTAAAGACTCGAATTCAAGCTCTCTTTTCCCGTACCTTTGGCCTTCAAGAGCCAACACCCACCCCTCCAAGTCCTCACCATTTACCTCTTCTAAGTTCATGAGGCAAGCCATAATAGGGTCTTTTGCATTAAGTGCCTCATCATCTTCCTCCATGATCACATCCACAGCTTTTATCGAAGAGCAATTTGCAAACTAACTAGGTCGCAACATATACTTTTGCATATTAAATGTTATTTCTTCGTTATTAAGCCTCATTTTCAGCTCCCCAGTTTCACAATCAAGAGCTCTTCTTGTCTCCAAGAATGGCCTTCCCAAAATTATGGGAATCTCCTCATCAACCTGGCAGTCCAGAATAACAAAATCTTTCGGAAACACAAACTTTTCAACTTGCACAAGTACATCGTCAAGTATACCTGATGGCTTTTTCACCGTTCGGTTAGCTAGTTGTAGTAACATGGATGTGGGCCTTACTCTTCCAATGCCTAATTTTTTTATAGATAGCCAATGGAATCAGATTTATGATCGCCCCCAAATCACACTTGGCGAATGCATAGCTACCTATGGTGCATGGAATTGTGAAGCTTCAAAGGCCGAGTAGCTTCTCAGCTATACTTCTTGTCACAACAGCACTACATATCTGAGTCAATGTCACAGTTGCCAAGTCTTGAAGGTCAAACTTGCGTGACATCAAGTCCTTCATCATTTTTACATAACCAGGCATCTCCCTCAAAGCATCAATTAGAGGAATGTTAACCTGAATTTGCTTCAACATTTCCATGAATCTTTTGTACTGCTCATCCTTCTGATATTTAGCCAACCTTTGCGGGAAGGGTGTTGGAGGTCGCTTTCTTCCTATGACTTGAGTTATATCCTGCTCGGGCACTTTTTCTACTGCCTTATCTTGCATTTTATCAATCTTATATGTAACCCCTTTTTCTTTGCTTGTTTCCTTTTATGCATGTTATATTGTTACCTCTATTACCTTGTTGAATCATCTACCTCAATTGGCATTGGCACAAATATCTCAGTTGGTCAGCTTTCGCGAGCAATTTCTTGCTCTAGATCAAGATCTCTATCATTTCTTAGACTCACCGCCATAAATTGCTTTGGGCCCTGATCTTTCAGATTGACATATGTGTCCGCCGGTAATGTACCTTGAGGACGATTGTTAAGGGCCATGGATATTTGCCCTATTTGAATCTTAATGCCCTTGATAGTTGAGTCGTGTGATACTAACTTTTCTTGAATTTGGTGGACCTTTTCTTCCATTTTCCCGCTGGACCCAATGAGTTATTGCAACATTCCTTTAATTTCAAACAACCCATCATCTTGTCACACTATCTGTTGCTGTTGAGGTTGTTGATTATGCTAATTGTACCCTTGTTGCCTTTGATAAGGCACAACTTGACCTTGTGGTTGTGCAGCTCCATGATTATTATTATTATTATTATTATTATTATTGTACTGCTGTTGTGCTGTCCTATAGTGTTAATTCTGCTGTCCCCAAGTCTGACCACCTTGTTTCTGGCCTCCATCATTACCCACATAGTTCATATTTTCCTTATAGTTCTGCTTGTCACATTCACCACTCCGCGAGCACACATATGGTTGTTTAATGCATGATGTACATAAGTCCACATTAATCGTGTCAACTATGTGTACCTTCTTCTAGCCTGATTCATCAATCTGCTTGGTGAGGATACTCATTTGCGTCATCAGAGCGGCCATATTCTCAGCTATGAAGTTGTTTGGGTCCAAGGCTACTGAGTGAATTACAGGGGTTATTGTAGTGTCTCTTATCATCCGTAATGAGTTTTGTGCCATTTTATCTAGCATGACCTTACACTCTATAATTGATTTGCTAAAAAATGCTCTACCCGCTGAAGCATCAACGTTGTCCTTCAAGCTATCTGCCAATCGCATGTAAAACCTTTGTCCCAATATCTGATCTGGAATGCCATGATGTGGACACTTAACTAGCATCCCTTTGAACCTCTCCCATGTTTCTTGTAGTGTTTCAGCTGGTTTCTGCCTGAAGCTCAATACCTCATCAACTTGCTTGACAGTCTTATTGGGTGGGTAGAACTTGTTCAAAAACTGCTTGACTAATTCCTCCCAAGTGGTGATGGAGTTTATGGGGAGCGAATTGAGCCAAGTCTCAGCTTCTCCAGTCATTGAGAATGGAAACAATAATATTCTAATTGCTTCTGGTGTCACATTCAGTTGCCTTTGAGTGACACAAATTGACAAAAAGTTTTTCAGATACTGTTATGGATCTTTAATGTAAGACCCGGAGAACAGTCCCTTATTCCGTAGCATATGTAACATGTTGTTTGTGCTTTTAAATGACTCTGCTTGTATATGAGGGACGGTAATTGTGGTTGCCAGATTCTCATCGATGGGTTGTGCCCAATCATACAATGTCACTTCTAGCACAAGAGGTTCCACACCCTGATTGTTTGGGTCATTCCCAATATTTCATTTGGTTTGGTTATCTATAATATCCCCCATGTCTAGTTCGATCTGTTCTGTCAGGTTTTGTTGTCGTTTGCCCTTCTTGTTTGCACGATTTAGTGCCTTGAAAGCTTTCTGAGGTTCCGATAATGCTTCAAATAATTCACCAGTTCTTGAGGAGTTTCTAGGCTTGTACCTGTAACACCCAAGACTACAAATGTTAGAATTTCAATATAATGAATATAAAATGAAGAAAATTGACTAAACTATGAATCTTAGCAATTCTTCTAAATGTAATTAATAACACCGTTAGTTCCCCGACAACGGCACCAAATTTGATCACGCCCAACTATGCCTTATAAAAAGGACTAAGCGATCGTTGTAAATATAATTCAATTTACAAGTCCGGAGTCGAATCCCATAGAAAATTAACCTACTAATCACAACTGCTAGTTTCACAACAATTCAAGTAATCAACTTTCAGAAATATTGAATAATGAGTTTAGTGTTTACTAACTAAAAGCAAGGTAATTAAAAAGCTATAATTTTATTACTAACAAAGCAAATGTTGTAGACATGATTGGAAAGGTCTAGGTTACGATTTCCCCTCTCGTTGGAATCCTCCCTGCCACGTCTCCTATAAATTTGCTTATATATTCTCTACTGATCGTAGGCACTTTAGGTGTCGTAATTCTCTTCTGAGCAACTACAACAATTCAATAAACGTATTCTTCCGAACTACGCTAGCTGGCACTAGTTTACTACTCACTAAGATCGCACCAATATTTTGTTATTCCTAATCCCACCTTTAAACCCTCCATATTGATCCCTCATATACGTTAGGAGTGATATTGTTTAACAACTACCTAAATATGTTCCCTTTTCCAAGTAATACACACTAAATAGGCATAGTCAATTGAGGGCTCTTTAGTCAACCACAATAATCACGTAGTTGAACAAATAAAGAAACTATTGTCAAATTTATATTAAACGCAACAAAAATTCATCCTCCAAGAGGTTCCATCAAATCCTAGAATAAAAAGTTTAACTACTCATAATTGTTTTCACAACTACAATATAGGAATTCATCACCAATAATAGAAAAGGGAAGAAGAAAGATAAAAACTTGTTTCCGAATCTTCCATCTTGCTCCTTACTTGTTCTTGCCTTCAAAGATGTTGTGTAGCACTTAAAAAGTCATTCTTTGATGTATTTATATTACATAGGGTTGCTAAGGGGCGGAACTTTTCAATCCCACTTCGGATGGGAGAAGCTGGAATCTGCGTCTGCCTTCGCGCGTCGTGCGCCCATGGACGCAAATTTAGCTTTTGAAATTCTTCCATTTCGTGAAGCGATCTGTGCCTTTGCTTCACTTCGTTGTTTTGTGCCTTCACTTTTCTCCTTGTTCGCATTCATTTTCATGCCACACACGAGAATAGACGAGCTCCCAATCCTTCCATTTTTCTCTTTTTTACAATAATTTGATATCTTTTGCTCCATTATTGTTCAAGCTCACTCCTACAAATAAGAAATACGTAATGAGTATAATTCCCTTCAAATATCATGTAATCTCCCATAACTCACACGACAAATGAGATGAAAATACACTCAAAATCATGCACTTTTGGCCATTTATCAGTACATACTAATAACGCTGAACAAGGTGTATTAGTAATGCACGAGTTAGTAATGCAGGCATTAGTTATGCAGAGATTATTTCTTATCAATTTTTTGGTGTGGTGTATTAAAAATTAAAATGCATTGCATAATTTTAAAGAAAATCAGTTGTTTGCAAAATGCCCTCCATATTATTTAGATTTAATGGACTTTAAGTATAATTTTATTTCTAACCATGTTAATGCATGCATTAATAGCATTATTATTGTTAATATCATCGTTTGCTATGTATTAGTTATACATAGGATAATATCGAATAGGTTGTATAACTAATACAGTCAAACCACTCTATAACAACATCACTATATAACAACCATTCACTATAAAAGCCTGATTTTCCCAGAACCGATTTTTTATGTTATATTTTACCTCTCTATAACAACTTTTCACCTATAACAGCAATGCCCATTTTTACGACTATACGCTCTTTGTAAAATTACTCCTCTATAACAGCCATGTAGGGTTTCTAAGATTGTTACTAATAATAATTTTAAAATATTTTATCAAATATTTTATGACTTTAATGCACAACCTATGATAAAAATATATATTGTTACTAATAATAATTTTAAAATATTTTATCAAATATTTTATGACTTTAATGCACAACCTATGATAAAAATATATATTGTTACTAATAATAATTTTAAAATATTTTATCAAATATTTTATGACTTTAATGCACAACCTGTGATAAAAATATATATTGTTACTAATAATAATTTTAAAATATTTTATCAAATATTTTATGACTTTAATGCACAACCTGTGATAAAAATATATATTGTTACTAATAATAATTTTAAAATATTTTATCAAATATTTTATGACTTTAATGCACAACCTATGATAAAAATATATTATTTTATTATGATAGCAGTGAACACCTTTCTAATGTTGAATTTGCAGTCTACAGTATATTTCTTTCTTTGTTTTTTCCTTCATGGATGTTAGCTTCCGGAAACTAATAAAGTTTCACTATGAAAAAATATTATCGTGTGATTGAACAAGTCAAGTTAACTTTAGACAACTAGACTAAGACAATTTATTACGAATGGATGTAAGATAAGACAGTAAGCAAATCTTTATCAATTCAAGCATTATACCTCCAGCAACAGATTGAAATCTATGAAACAAGCTACAATTATAGAGTTTTTCCATCAATCTTGAAAGAATTTTATTTTTTAGTAGTTTTAAAATGTGTTCCTTAGAGTTTAAATTTTTTATGTTTAGTTATGGGTTGGGTTTATTAATAATTTAAAAGATTTATAGCATTAATTAGTGAAATATTTATATCTTTTGAGATTTTAAGTCTAACTAATTATCCTATCTCTTATATGTAACATTTTAAAAAAATAATTTTTGGATAACTTTTGTGTATAACAATCAAAATATATTTAGACGCCAAATGCTATTATAGTGTATAACATTCATTCACTATAAAAGTCAAAAAATATCGGAACAACGATGTTGTTATAGAGAAGTTTGACTGTACTTGCATTAGTAATACGTATGTTGAAAAAGTGTGTACCAAACAAGATATTAAGAATACAAAAGCTAGTGCATACATTATTTTCTCTAATTCATCCTACCAAACGACCCCTAAAAGTTTGTCCATGAGGTCAAAAGATTAAGACCATCAAATTTTAAGGCTATTGGGTGTAATTTTCACTGTTTTATTTGCATGTGGGCTATTTACATGAGCCCTATAAGTTGCCCCTTCAAAGGCCATATTAACCATCCTCCTTATTATTTTAAAGCCCAAGTCCAGGTTGTATTAGAGAGACCAAGCCCAAGCCCAAGCCCAACCCAAGAATCAAATATGGGCTTAACCAATATTTTACTTGGACTAACCTAGTGGTACTTCTTTACTTGCAAACTCAACAAATCTTACCTAAAACCTTTGAAAAATGAGAAAACTATCATTTATAGCCCATCAAAATTTTAATAGCCCGTGTTTTTATCCACTTACACGAAATGGCCTTTTGGTCCAATTTATTTGCAATTTGTAGCCATTATCTATTTTCAATGCATTTATCTTCTCAAGACAACATTTAATCCTAGCCTTTTTATCTTTCTTTCATTCTATCTAATGCACACTTTTTTATCTTTCTTTCACTCTATCCAATGCACAAATTTTCCATTACCATTTTCATTCTTATCCTCTTTCTTTCTTTGTATCTTCTTTATCTTCCTTTTATCTTTTTGGGTTATTTTTTTTTTTTTTTTCCTTCCCTTCTCTATCTCCCATTTCATATCTATATTTTTTCTCTTTATTTTTTACTTCTCACTGAAAAATTTGTTTGAGTACCTAGAAAATCACAAATTTTTTAATTCAATTATTAAAAAGATTTACTCAATTACGATGCATGATATAAGAGTGGCAACAAAAGTCGTGGGGTTTTCTAGTCAAGCTGCTGCTTCTTCTTCTACTTCTTCTTATTCTTCTTCGATCATAATAGTGTTTTGGGAATGAATAACTTTTACAGTGAGTATTAATGGTGGGTCTGGATTTAATGGGGTAGTTGGATGACGCTTATATGTAACTTTATATATATATATATATATGAACAATCCGACCTTAAATGGAAGGATAACCTATGACAATTAATGGCTAGGTACTTTGATAGAGCGTCATACGCTACTCCTGCTTATAAATACAGGATGCATACGAGATAATACTCTCAACCACAAGATCAGCTGAAATTCAGCATTTCTATTCTGCAAATACAAGAAAAACTTATAGTTTTTCGAAGATTATTATAAAGAAGGTAATACCTTTAGATGAATGGGGAATCAATACTCTTAAGGATCGAGAATATATTTATCCTAACCAAAAAGTCTCTGTCAAATTTAATTATTGGGACTATATATATAGTTACACAATGTATTAAATATTTTACATACACATTGTATAAATTTGGTATATAAGTGTATCTTGTATTTTTCAGTGTATATTGTAAAAATTATATATAAATTGTGAGAAAATGTATAAAAATTGTATATATACTATTACATTGTATAAATTTTGTATATTAAGTCTATCCTCTATATTTTACTGTATCATTAGTGTATATTCATTGTATAGTGACAGTCTATTTGTATATAGTTTGTATAGTGACAATTATAAAATGTATAAAAATTGTATATATACTATTATATTGTATATATTTTATATATAGAGTGTATCCTTAGTGTATCCCTAATGTATCATTAGTATATATTCATTGTATAGTGACAATCTATTTTATATATGTTGTATAATGACAGTCTATTTTGTATATAAATTATACAATGACAATCTATTTTATATATTTTTGTGAGTGACAGTCTATTTTGTATATATTTTGTATAATGACAGTCTATTTAGTATATTTTTTGTATAATGAAAGTCTATTTGTATATATTTTGTATAGTGAAGACTATCGATGAGATAAAAAAATAAAGAGAATTGAGATCTAAAGTTAGACAATGCATTAGTTTTTGCCATCTTTGTTTCTCCCGCAAAATGCAACAAATCAAAAACCTTCAGCTCCATTATCGCTGTTATGGCCACAACAACACAAAAAACCTTTCAATTTTATACACTAGAAGACACTTCATCGTCGTCGGAGCCAAAGTCGCCGGAACTAGGTCTCCGTCAGCATCGAAGATCGGAAACTTACTCGTCGTCGCTTCAATTACAAAAGCTTTGACAACACCAGGAGGAGAAAGTAGCCTAGAAAAATACAACGATTCAATTCTCCTATCAGAAACCCTAGTCCTCCAAATCCTCCTGACTTTAGGTATGTACAATACGACGACATTGAAGATCTCAAATTCCTACTTCTTATCTTATATTTTATTTTTCTATTTTGGAACTTGAGTTGGAATCGGAGAAGAGCGGTTTTTGGATGAAGGACGAAAGTGTGTAAATATGAGATTTAAAATATAAGGAAGGATTGTGTTTCGGTGATAGTTGGATCGGTGGCTAGCCTTTTAATTAGTTTTGGGCTATAAAATGCATACTGCAATTTTGTGACTAGCGGCTGATATTAATTTCCAGCGGCTGACCATAAATGAAATTTGCTCTTGAAAATCACTAAGAAAAGCAAATAAGAAAAGAAGATTATGTCATGAAGTAAGACCAATTAAGATTTATTCCTTTGAATGCTAAAACTATAGTTTTATTCAATAATAAGCGCTTTAATCCCTTAAAATGAGCATTTGCGTGTAAAGTTGCATTAATTAGGGTAGTAGATTTTCAAACCATATGTTAAAAAGAAATATATATATATATTATTTTAAAAAAGTTAGTATAATTTATCAGATGCTCAACGAAAAAATCAAACAATTGGCTGAACGAAAAATAAATGGCAAAGGGCTAAATATACCCCTCTACTTTCGAAAATGGTCTACAAATACCCCTCGTTATACTATTGGGTTATCTATACCCCTACTGTCATACTTTGGAACAAAAATACCCCTATTTTGGATGGAGTGCCACGTGGCAGCACCAGATTAAAATGACCCATTTCTTTTTTTTACCGACCCATTTTTAAAAAAACCCACAACCTGACCCCTATTTTCATTTTTTCCAGTTTTTTTTTTAAAATTTCAGTTTTTAAAAAACGAAAATATTTTGTTAAAAAACAAAAATCTGTTTTTACAAATTTGTTTTTCCGGTTTTTACAAAACAAAATTCTTTTAAAAAACTAAAAATATGAAATAACATATTTTTCAAAAACGAAAATATTTTGTTGAAAATAATTTTTCAATTTTTAAAAAACGAAAATATTTTTTTTTCTGTTTTTACAAAAAAAAATCAGTTTTTACAAATTTGTTTTTCAAGTTTTTATAAAAAGAAAATCTTAAAAAAAAAACGAAAAAAAACATTTTTCAAAAACGAAAATATTTTGTTGGAAATATTTTTTTCAGTTTTCAAAAAACGAAAATATTTTATTAAAAACTGAAAATATTTTTTGCAATTTTTTTTAAAGTTTTAAAAAAAAAAATTCTTTAAAAACACTGAAAAATGAAAATATGGTTCGGGTTGTGTTTTTTTGTAAAACGGGTTGGGTAAAAAAAATGGGTCATTTTAATTTGGTGCTGTCACGTGGCACTCCATCAAAAATAGAGTTATTTTTATTTTAAAATATGACGATAAGGATATAGATAACCCAATAGTATAACGAGAGATATTTTAAATCATTTTCGAAAGTAAAGGAATATATTTGGCCATTTACCGAAAAATAAACGGAGTGACTTTGGCGAATCTCTTTGCTAGGAGCCTTGATAGGTTATAGCCTTTATGGCTTTATTTCCCAAGTGGCTTTTCGTGGCACTAATCTGGGGTAGTCATATTTTTAGCTTTGCAGCTTTATCTGGTTGTACTTTCACGACCAAACTACCCTTCCCTCAAACTAAAACAGTACACTGTCTCAAAGCTACAACCATAAAATCATAAAGCTAAGGCCCTTTATAATCATCGTCCCCAATAGGGTTTTACTAGGGTTTCTATTTCACACTTACACACATATCCTCCGTTCACCATGTCTCCAATTTCCGGCCGTCACAGGCAGTCGGAGCTAACGGCGGAGGGAATCGCAGCATCAGGCCTCACATCCGAAAAACTAAGCTTACCAAATTTACAATCAAAGATGAAATGCGATCCAGAAGGTTACGAATCAGAACTAACGTTAGTATACAATCAATTCAAATCTTCAATGGAACTATTCGAACAACAAGCCGCACTTAATTTCACTTCCCTTAGCGGTGTATCCACTGACCCTACGGTTTCAAAGGACTTAGGCGAACGTGCGATGTTTTTATCACACGTTACGCCTTTTTACCCTAAACAGCTCGTTAATTTCCCTAAAGAGTTAGCTCAGTTGCTTCGTTCTTCGGCGAGGACTTTGCCTTCTGGGTTACGTGTTCATGTTACTCAAGCTCTGATTTTACTCCTTAATCGAAAGGTATTGCTCCTCAATTTGGCTTTCTTATTTAGTAATGCACTCCAGTTCGTTTTATATGTGATGACATTTGATTGAGCATTGAGTTTAGGATGTTAATTTGACGTGTTTAGAAAATATTGAAGTATTGGTTGAAAAGAGAAAAAAGCATCGTCAGTAGAATATATAAAGAACTTCTAGTGTTTATATTACTCAAGCTCTAAGTCTACTCATTAATCGAAATGTATCGATTCTCATTTATTTTTACTCTTGTTAGCACTTTTATTTCCTATGCTTTTTAGGAGTTGTTTAGCCCTTTAGAAATTTATACCTCAGTAGAAAATATAAAGAACTTCTAGCGTTTATATTACTCAAGCTCTAATTCTACTAATTAATTGAAAGGTATCAAAGCTCAATTGTATTTTTATGGCATGTTAGCACTTTTACTTCACATCCTATGCTTTTTAGGAGATTTAGATATTTAATACCTCATTAGAAAATATAATGAACTTCTAGTGTTTATATTAATGAAGCCCTATTTCTCTAATTCTACTCATTAATTGGAAGGTATGCTAGTGCTCCTCAATTTTATATATTTAGTCATTTTAGCACTTTTGCTTTATGTTCCATGCTTTTTCTAGGAGTTGTTTAACATAGATTTATACGACAGTAGAAAATATAAAGAACCTCTAGTGTTTATATTACTCAAGCTTTAATTCTACTCATTAGTCGAAAGGTGTGCTCCACAATTTCATTTTCTAGTCACGTTAGAACTTTTACTTTACGTTCCATGCTTTTCAAGGAGTACTTTAGCCTTTCAGAGATTTATATGTCAATTGAAAATATAAAGAACTTCTAGTGTTTTTTTAATTGTTAATTATATTCATGTATAATCTGAGATGAGTTTATGTGGAGTATACGGTCAGTCATGATTCATATAGGATACAACTGACCCCAACTTATTCGTGATTGAGACTAGTTCTACTCATTAATCGAAAGGTATCACTACTTGAACAAGGAGATTTATTAAAGTAGGATCGGCACTAAGCGAATGCTTCAATAAAATAATTACAAACTGTGCAATTCGTCGATTGTGTATAACATGGTACCTACGTCCTGGGTAAAAGCCGAATTGCACCAAAGAACTAGCAAAGTTAAAGCTGTAAACTCAAGGCTATGAGTGTTTCTTTTGTTGCCTTAAAAAATTCTGCTATTCTTTTCTGTCCAGACTATCCACCAAATAACTTGTGGGATTGTATTCCAAATTTGAAGGGGCTTTTTGTTGAGTCCATTTCTATACCAACACAAAAAAAGCTCCTAATAGAGTTTGGCATGGTCCTTCATATGCCAAGTGTAGCAAAAAATAGACTCCACAACTCTTTAGTTGTTGTTGTACTAGTTCCTCGATTTTATATGGGATGATGTTTGATTGAACACAAAGTTTAAGATGTTAATTTGACTTGATAAGTATTAAAGTAATGGCTGCAAAGAGGAAAAAACATCACCATTCAAGCGTTATGTTTTTATACAAAAATAACAACAACAACAACAACTACTACGTCTATAACTTTATAGGCAGTGGGTCCGGGTCCAACCAGTGGTGGCAATTTCAACCCGAAATAGTTTGACTCACCCAAGCTGGCCATGATAGAAACACATCCAGACTACCCATTTAAACTATGGTTTAATATAGGTTAAACCCATTTTCAACCCATACTAAAATGGTTTATTCAGTCGAAAGTAGGTCACCTGCTTTCCGGTTGGTTCTTTCAATTGTTTGCGGAACTATAAACTAATAGGAAAATAGCATATTTTGTTGGTACATGACACAAAAGTAGATTTTGATTTTTCAAAACCAAGGAAGTACTGCTTCTCAATGTTTTTTCAATGGCCCCTCAAAAGAAATCCATAAGATTCGAAGGAGAAGGATAAGCTTGGCATGGCCCTGCCCAGAATCATTCTGAAATCAAGATTTCATTTTTTTTTTGTCCTTTCTTGTTTGTGTCAGGATAATTGCAATAATCTGTGTATCACATAGTAATTGAAGACTCACTCAACATGTATGTGTTAGTCATGAAAAAACCAATTGAATACCTTTGTAATCAAGTTGGTTAAAGAATTAATGTTGATCAATATTGATGAAATATTACCCGACAAATTAAAAAAAGGAAGTAATGTAGATCAACCTTGACAATATGTTTTCTTCCAGATTGTTGACATTGGGGAGACACTTGCATTGTTCATGGAGCTCCAGACTCTGGGGGATAGGGTTTTGAGAAAATTGGCTTTCTCACATATTGTCCATAGTATTAGACGTTTGAATCAGAAGCACAAGAATGATACAAAGAATCGGGCACTTCAGAATATTTTGTTTGCCTTGCTACAGGTTTGGTTCTGCCTTTTTCTATTGTAATGCCTTCTGAACTTTTTGGTTGAAAATTGACATTCTTCTTATTTGTGGATGCTAAAATGTGATAGCAAGAGGATGAAGCGAAAGCAAAAAGAGCACTCATCACACTTTGTGAACTTCATCGGAGAAAAGTGTGGTTTGATGATAGAACAGCAAATGCTGTATGCTCGGCATGCTTTCATTCATCATCGAGGTAGGCATTGTTGCTAATAGTTGCTCACTGAATTCATCAGTTTACAACTAAAGCTCTTTGTACTTGTTTACATTCCTCAGGATTATGGTTGCTTCTTTATCCTTTATTCTTGATTATGAGAAAATTGAAGACGACTCAGATAGTGATATGGCAGATAGTGAAGATGAACAAACATCCACTCAGCCTCAGGTTGTGGTAAATAAAGAGGCTATTTATAAGGTTGGTTCTCATATTAAATCCTTTATAGGCATTCCTTATATAATACACATCTGCGGAGCAATCATGCCTGCACTTGTGCTTGCAATTTGTGATTTATAATTCTAATATATATAATTCATTAAACGGTTATTTAAATTCATGTCAGCATTTTTTTCACTCTTTATTTTTTTAGTTCTATGGGATTATTGATCATATTAAGCACTAGTGTCAAATAATGGTTCAAGATTTTGTGCATTCCGGTTTAGATTGGAAAGCATGCAGATGAGTTTTTTGCACTCACTGATCCTTCTGTTTTGGAGTGGAATAATCAGTTTCCAAATTCGGATCTGCGAATTTAGGATCTGCTTACAACTGATATCTCTGGCTTTCAATACTTGGTTCAAAATCTCAAGAGAGTAGTAAAAATTTGTCCTCTGTTGTGGTAAATATTAATCAAATCTGCTGTACTTACTCTGCGTGCACGTCTAGGCAAATAATAAGGGTACATCAGCCAGCAAAAAGAAAAAGCAAGCAAAGTTGCAGCGTGTCGTCCGCAGCATGAAGAAGCAGCAGCGCATGCAATCTGACAATAACAGCACTGGTTATTCTTCCCCATTAAACCACTTAAAGGATGCACAGGTTTTTTTAGTTCTTAGTACTCTATGATGCAGTCTTTGTGATTTGGAATCTGTGGAAGAGATACCCATGGTACATATTTTCATGCAGGGATTTGCTGAAAAGCTGTTCTCACGTCTTCAGACTTGCAATGAGAGGTTTGAGGTAGATTGCCCTTCTTTACTTCCTGTAGTTTTGCTTTGGTGAAACTAGACTGGACTTTCCAATGTAGTATTTTCCTTTGGGGGCCATGCTTGAAACTACATATTTGTTCATTTTCCGTCTCCCTCCAGGTTAAGATGATGATGCTGAAAGTAATTGCCCGAACAGTCGGGCTTCATCACTTGATTTTGTTGAACTTTTATCCTTACCTTCAGAGATATGTTCAGGTATTTTAAATTTCATTTGGCATCACAGTTTATATATCTTTTGGCTGTGTTCTTTCATGTTCATACTTAAGGTTGGTGCGTGGATGTTCTGTGCAGCCTCATCAGCGTGATGTGACAAATTTGCTTGCTGCAGCGGTTCAGGCATGTCATGATATGGTACGGTGCTTTTTGTTCTGCAATTTTTTTTGTTTCTTTTGATAAACTTGCTAGCCTTCTCCTGCTCAGATGATATCTTTTCTTGACCAGGTGCCTCCTGATGCAGTTGAACCATTATTTAAACAAATAGTCAATCAGTTCGTGCATGACCGTTCAAGACCCGAGGTATCCGAAATGACCTCATATCTCATTAGGATCATATATGTTGTACGTAAACAAAATTAATGCTATATCTGTATTTGAAATTTCCAGGCTATATCTGTTGGAATCAATGTTATTCGAGAAATATGTTTGCGCATGCCTTTGGTATGTATAATGTTTCCCCAAGTATTTGGCATTTATAATATACGGTCTTACGTGTTGGTATATTCACAACTTTTTTCATTTTATCTTTTTTGTTTTAGTTGATGACAGAAGATTTGCTGCAAGACCTTGTGTTGTACAAAAAATCAAATGAGAAGGCAGTTTCGTCATCGGCTCGATCACTTCTTACTTTGTTCAGAGAGGTACAACAAATTGCCTTCTTTCCCTCTCTCTCCTAAAATATACATGTTAAGAATCAGTGAAGTTTTATTTGGCTCGACGGTGACAATTGCTTGCAGGTTTGCCCTTCACTTCTAGTTAAGAAAGATAGAGGACGCCCTACTAACCCAAAAGCAAGGCCTAAGGCATTTGGTGAAGTTAGTGTTGCCAGCAGCATTCCGGGCATTGAGTTGCTGGAGCAGGAGGATAATGACAGTGATGATGATATAGAGGAAGGCTCTGTTGGCTTGTCTGACCATGATGATCAAAGTGATGAAGATGTTGACCCTGGCGAAGAGGATGCCAGTAGTGAAAAAGATGGAGATGATGCTTCCTACGGTGAATCTGGTGACTCTAGTGGTGATGATTGTGAAATTGATGATGCATGTGATACTGATGAAGATAACAAAGCGCAAGCTGCTGAAGAATTTTCAGAAAATGATGATGCCATTGATAGTGCTGATGCCACTGAAGATGATGAGAGTGATGGTGAAGAAGAGGATATTGATGACAGTAAAATGC